AATATATGGATAAAAAAAAAACATTAAATTAATCAAAATGCTTGTATTAACTTTAAAGCACCCTCTAGCCCATTAGACGATTGTTTATTACAACGCAACGTTGAAATTCAAGGACGACACTTTAAGGGGTATAAATACAGTTATAATATTGAATGTTACCTTTTCATTGCCAAGATGACTTTAGTCACCTTTAGTTCTGTGCGGGTGTTAATAAAATTATTTTTATCCTCATATTATATCAGTGGTGGAACATAGGTTAAAGGTGGATGTTTTAGCCTAGGTAAAGTCTGATACATCACTGAAAGTTGAGCAAAAATGTGGTCTAGGGATACTTATACACAATTTTCCTCGCCCTTGAAATACAGTCGAACAAATACAGAGTTTAGCTTTGTATAGATAATGCCCAACTGGTTGACGAAACGCGTCGACAAATATTTTGTGTGTTTTCGGTGTTATGGGAATAAACGTTCTAAGTATTAAACACAAAATTTTCGGAAAATTATAAAATTTAATTTTGCGAATTTTATTTTTATTTCCTGAGCGTAAGCAAAGGAAGTATTGTAATCGAGTCTGTCTGGGGGCGACTCTCTATTTTTATGTTTTCTGGACATTTTATGACCAGTAGAGTATGAAAGATTAAGTCTCCTGTTTCCTTTGTCCAGATTTTTATTAGGCAGATAATTTCCAAAAGTAATTTTAAATCTATGTTAGGAATATCGTGTAGATGGTAAAACGCTAAACAAAATTTGTCCAATCTCCCCATCAATGTCATGTCATGTCAAAATTTTTCATAGTAGGAAAGATTTAAAGTTTATAAAATAGCATACTCCTATACAGTAAACCCTCGTTACTTCGAACTCGGTTAAGACAAACACCTCGTTATTACGAACTGGAAGCGAAGTCCCAAACAGTCCACTTATAAAACGAATGCAACTTAATTCGGTTTACACGAAATTCGGTTAATACGAAACTCGAACAACTTTTTCGGCCCCAAGTTATAATTCTCATATAAAATCACTCGGTTAACGCGAACAAAAAGTGCAAACTCTTTGCATCGTGCTCAAATACAATTTACTTTATCTTAATGGGTATCTAGTAAGCACAACGCAAAAGTATGTCTCTGTGTGGTTTACCGAGTTGTAATCAGTTCGTTCTTATTGTTCAATGTGCAACGTCCAAAATGCCATAGCAAAAACCAAAACGAGGCCAAAAATCCATTAATATTAAAACGAAAATGCAAACTGCAGTAGCTAAAAAGTTCACCATTCCAAAATCTGCATAGTCCACCATTCTGAAAACCCGATCTCAAATAAAAAATAGTATTGGGATCATTTGCGTCAAATTTTTTCACAAAGTTGTTTAGGAAAATTGATCCATGAAATTTTATATGTATGTAGTACTAGTATTAATGTTCAAAATTTGGTTATGTATTGTTAAAAATCTAATACGAAGAAAATTCGGCTTAAATAAGTTGTTTTTGTTATATTTGTGTTAAAATGTCAAAAAGTGATTTTCGGTTATGGCGAATTCGGTTAACACGAATTGGTCAAGATCATGGTCCCGACGGGTTCGTGTTAACGAGGGTTTACTGTATTTGTTTTATTGTTCATATCTCTAACACGGTATACCTTAGTGTTATTTTTAGTATTACACTGCATATGTCGTATCCTTACTGAAATAATATTGACCGAAACATTTTTAAATAGGAAACTCGCCAATACATTCAGTGTGTTCTTGCCCTGTATCAATGCATTCATATTTTTTGAAGCAATTATTAATCCGGTTCTTATCATGGGTTGAAGACCAGGTCATTCCAGAGATGCCGCACAAATATAAAAAATGGTTTTCGTCACATATTATGTTAGAATTCTACAAGATCTCTACAAAAATGTATTGGGTATCATTGAAAAATAAGTGATATGTGGTAAAGAAACAAAAAAATATAGGGTATCAAAACGAATTTATATGATGTCATTTACTTTCTTAGGCGGTTATAGTATTACTTATCTATATTTATTTTAATGTATAGAGGTTATTACGAATACAAATTCGCAAAATCAATCTTTTAATTTTTCAAAGAAGCGGGATTTGTTGCACTGCACTTTGGGGGAGAGGAAAGTCCTGTCAAAATGACTTTAGACCAATTTCTATTGTTTAAGTCAAATGTGTCGTTAAAATCATTTCTCCCAAATCTATCACAGTCCATTAATCCTTCGAGTGCATTGACTAATCTAAACTTTGTAGACTATATATTAACGCTGAAGCAATTTATTAATTGATTAAATATAAATTTCCTAACATTTTGTAATTCATTTGCCTGACTTTGTTTCAAAAATATTTAAAACAAGACTCTAGTAAAAACCACTTACAAAACGGATATCGCAAAGATGGAATGATATTTTCTTAATCAATTTTTTTCATCGATTTAATGCACATCAACAAACAATTCTGAAAAATAAGAGAATAAGTATTAAGAAAGTACACTTTAAGAAGCAGCCTATTCTAAACACTCCAAATATACTGTGTAAATTTTTCTACGACGTCATTAAATTTTTGAAAGGCAACAGATAAATTCTGAGTAGTGACTTTGATTTGCCACGTTCACGATAATCTTAGGACGTGTGCAAAATTTCAGGATAATCGGTTTTTGGGATAAGGAAAAGAAATTGTAACATCTTTGTTTTCTTTTTTGTTTTTTTTTTAAACCTGATTGCATTAAGTTGAAATATTGATACTGATCTTGTGATCTTTATTATATGTACTAAAGCAGACAAGAAATACCTCGTAATTTTAAGTTTCTGCTCTGTTTGACCATGAGGCGTACGTCAGCAGTGCAATCGCAACAGTTGACGTAAGCGTCATGACCAACTGGATCACAGATTAAAAAATCACACCATATAAGTTATCAAAGTTTTATTGCTGTAACGGTATTAAAATTTACAGATTTAGTTCAATTTATTCAAAATGCGCCTTGAGTGTTCATAGAAATGATCCGCCTTATTCGTAAATTAATTTTATTTAATATTTTCGTGTCATTTTAATATTTAATTTCCTTTTTTCGTGAGAAATTTGATGACCGCGTGGCATTCAATTTACCCATTCTCTCTTTTTCAAAATTCTTTTTTTTTATAAAAACCAATTAACTTTTAACTATGCAGCTGAATTAACAACAGACTCAAAAGTATAACAACAAAAAAATGTACTTATTTTAGTTAATAGGTAACTGAGATCAACAATTTTTTTCTTGATCCCCTCGTATTTCTATTTTTAACGAGAAACCACGGAGAAAATATGGAATTGATTGTTATGGATCCTATTGCAATACTTTTTTATCTTATGTTGGGGAAGTAAAAGTGTACCATAAAACGCAAATTTTCGTGCTTTTTTTCTCAAAAGCAAAAAAGAACTGTTTAAAATTTAGCATAATTTTTAAGTATAATCGTATAGTTTTTTCAAAATTTTTAAACTCACGTTATCTGAAATGATCAGTTCCGTCTTTAAAGTACAAAGTTTTGAGTAGAATACTGCGACGGAACTAAAAATTAACTCCAAAATAACAATAAAAATTAATCTACTAACGACAAATGTGAATTTTTTATTATGCATATATTCTGTACTTTTTAATTTACATTAAGTAAGTAGTTTGTACAAATTCTCGTTTTAAATGTATGTGTTTTCTTAATATCTATAAGTCAACACTGTCAGGAAAATTACGCAGAACAACATAACTAATTTAATTCTTAGGGAAAACACAAGAGCGCTCACAATGTGATTGAACATGATAAATTAATTTTAATTTCTTTTTTTTAATATACATATAGAATCATAAAAAAATTGAGTTATTAATTAATTATTATTGTTCCATTATACAAAGACATGCACTTTGATTTAATCACAAGGAGATTATTATCTCCTTAACTAAAAATACTTTATTAGTCATAAATTAATGCTGGTACTTTTTAAAACACTTTAGATTTTTCAACATTTTTGTTTGTTCAAAAAAGTGTAATATCAGTTGATTGGAAAATTTGGGTACTTTGGATAAGTTTAAAGTTTCAGAACAGAGGTACCCAATATTGATCGAATGGAAAAACAGTGCTTAAGTACATTTGTTTGACCTTTATTAAATAATAAATGTCTCGAAACTATATAGTTTTAGTTTTTAAAGTAAAGTTTTCATAAAAAACATAAAATATTCCATCCTGTGATAAAATCCGAAAGATCTTAAAAATAAGAGTATAGTAATGTTGTGGATGTACAGAAACACTTTATTTTGTACCCTACAAACGATATTTACTCTTCAAAACTCTGAAACTGTGTCATCAAGTTGTTAGAAGGAACAAATAAGTAAATTATGTTTAGCTATAGGAAAAAGACCGTATAATTTTGAACATTTTAAATATGATTTACTTAACAAAATTGTGATACTACGTTATCAATTTTCAGTGGGGACAGACAAATTTTGTTTAGCATTTTAATGTCTCCAGGCAACACAGCAATCCTAAGGTACGCCATGAATTTGTCAGTAATGGGTCCACCAGCAGAAGAACGAAAACCCACAGTTTCATATTATTGCATGTCGGTGTCCTTACACACGTTCCTTTAGTTATCTGATATGAGAGTCACATACGAATTAATTTATTTTTATCAAAAGAACACGTGTATAGAAAACCATTGATACTATCTTCCTACCTAACAATAGTGAAATAATTTATTTATGATAAAATTTTATGAACAAAAACTTTTACATCTTTGAAAATAATTTTTTATTTTACCGCATATTGAACAGATTTGTGTGATTTTTTTTAACTTAAATGGTCAGCCAATACTAAAACATATCACTCGATCAAAAATCAAAATTTTAAGAAATGAAGTGTTTACACTTTATGCAAATTTGTAACAAATAACAATAAGCACTTAATGCAACAACATGAAAGCAAATTGTCTAAATATGAGTACACAATCCACTTAAATTTTCCATTATCGGCAAGATATCTAGGTTTTCAAGACTATAAACTCTCCTAGAATTCCACGTTGCACTAACTTTTTTCACATTCTCTTTAAAATTCTTCAGAAACTAGTCTCAAAAAATGTTTGTTAAATGTTTATTACTGTTTTCGTTTTTGTGTTTACATCTTCAGTTCAGCTACGGCGTAACAGGTAATGCAAATTTCTAGTTAAACATACATTACATAGTAAATATATAAAAACGTTTACAGATACAGTCGTTTGCTACTACGCCAGCTGGGCTATTTATCGTCCAGATAAAGGAGAATTTCACCCAGAAAGCATCGATCCAACAATATGCACCCACATCAATTATGCCTTCTTAGGAATTTACCCCAATGGAACTTTGCAAATGATAGATGAATGGGGTGACATCGAGAAAGGTAAACATGTTTTGGAAAAACTGTCTCTATACTGTTCGTTCTTTCAGGTAACTTCCAAGAAGTGGAAGCTTTAAAAGAAATCAACCCAAATTTGAAAACCATTATCAGCGTTGGAGGCTGGAACGCAGGAAATGCCATTTTATCACCTATAGCCGCATCCGCAGAATTTAGAGCAAATTTAATTGCTAGTTGTTTAGAATATTTCGAAACCTATGGATTCAACGGTTTGGACATCGACTGGGAATATCCAGAAGCCAAAGATAAAGTAAACAATCGCCCTATACACACCCGTCCATAACAACCATCTTCTTTCAGGAAAATTTTATAACTCTTCTGAGAGAAATCAAAGAAGCCTTCCAACCCGGAGGATACGTCCTTACCATAGCTGTTTCTGCTATTCCCATAGATGACGCCTATGACATCCCTGGAATGTCCGAAAACGTAGATCTTATAAATTTGATGACTTATGACTTCCATATTGCTGGAGGTGGCATCACTGGTCAAAATTCACCACTTTATTGGGGAGCAGCTGACTCTGCGTGGCAAAAAGAGTACGAAAATGTGAATTCTACGGTTGTTAATTGGGTTAATGAAGGTGCAGATCCAGCGAAGCTTACCATTGGTTTAGCGTTTTACGGTCATACGTTCCAATTGACTGATCCTGCCCAGCACGATCTTGGAAGTCCCGTATCAGACGCAGGAATGTCTGGACCGTATACTAAAGGTTATGGTATCATGGGTTACAACGAAGTAAGTGTTTAACTTTATGATAATGTAAATGTCTTACTGAATTTTTTGTTTTGAAAAGATTTGTGAATTAACTGGCGACTGGACTCGAGTCTTTGACGATCAACAAAAAGTGCCTTATAAATACAAAGACGATCAGTGGATTGGGTATGACGACGAAGAATCTGTTGCGTTAAAGGTAATATAGATATTGTGAATTTTGTATTAACTATCTAGCATATTTGTGGAATTCTAGGTTCAGTATGCCAAAGATAACAATTTGGCGGGTCTTATGATATGGACGGTAGATATGGATGATTTTCTGGGACTTTGTGGTACCAAAGACGGGTTGTTACAAACAATCAAAAATAATTTGTAATTGTTGTAATGAATGTTTACAAGGTTTCATCAGAGTTTGAAATACATTTCCTTCAATTGCTAGTTTTTTTTCAATGTACGCAATTATGGAAATTCGAAGAAGTCGTGTCAAAATTGACTTTTCTGCTCAAAAAGTCCCCCAGGAACCTAAATAATTTTTTCGTATCATTTGTTTTAATTTTAGTTCAATTTAAATAGCTATTTCCATTGGTTAAATTAAACTAAGTAATTCTCAACTTACGTATTTATGCATAAAATTTAAAGGAAATCAACCATAAATATGATCTGTTTCTCCAGCTGAAAAATTTTGAAACAGAAATAAACTTCTTGAATTAAGTAACTAAAGAACAAAAGTAAGTTATTTCCGGTTTCAAAACATAAAGGAGTTGTCAGCTTTCAAAATATAAATGCAAGATAAATAAAAGATTGCCAATCAAAATCCAACATTCTTAAGCCTTTCCAATGTGTTTTCTATCCGATGGAGAGGCAACCAATAGTCCAGATCAAATGAAAATGGAAATTTCTTGTTAAAAACGCAGTGACATACTTTCCAAAGCCAACTTGATTTTGCGATATTTTATATCGGTACATATAAAACACATATAGGTACTTGAAGAAAGACTTGCAAATGTTATTGTAAATTAAAAAAAAATTATAATTTACTTACCCGTAGGTGTAAATCAGTTGATTTAAATGGTTGCCTAAAATAGTACCTTAACAGGCATTTAAAAACTAGAGCAAACATCACAGAATGGCCGTTAAACAAAATGGTGATATGTGTTCTCAGGTACACCTGATGCACGTAAAAAAACTGAAGATAAAAAAGTAAGTGATGTCTGTTGAACACTATTGAAGAGATTTTTTATACATTTACAAACGCTCACTGTTTCCCTAAAATTTTGTACATTTCAGTTCGGTAACAAAGGTTTGTTGCTCTAGTCTTGTTATATTTGACCGAATCTGAAACGATTACTGATGAGTTCTGAAAATCTTAACTAAGGCTATCACATACATTTATCACAAAATACCCCGCTTTTTAAATGTGATTCCCGTTTAAATTTGTGTTTCGCACTGTTTACACATTTTTTTGCAATTTCTGTATGAATTTTATAAAAAAAATGTCCCAGTACTGGTACTGATAATTGTATGGACCAGTACCCTGCTCAGGTCTGGACTCACTTGTATTTTAAAAGTAGAACGTACTTAATAAATCATCGAAGGAATAACAAGTCTATTACTCTCCCTTCCAACGTTCTAACATTTTTTGGTTCTTCGAGCCGAATGGAACCATCCATCTCAATCATCAAAATTCGAAATCACGTTTTCACGGCATCGACACATTCGTACTGTGTATGTAAAAGTGAAAGTGTAGCGCGATCCAAACGATCCAAGAAAACATCCACCCAACTCACATGTACGGAGTGCGTTGGGAAGAAAACCAGGCGATCCAAGAAATAATCCAGCCAACTCCGGAATACTTCGGGAAGAAATCCAACTGACGGTGACGCAAAAAAGGATACACCCGATGCCCATATCTGGAGTTCGTCGGGAAGAAATCCACACAATGACTACGCAAGAAAGAATCCACCCGATTTTCACCTCCGGAGTTCGTCGGGAAGAAAATTAGATGCCGATCCCGAGCCTCGAGGCATCTCAGCGTCTGCATCGTGTCCTAGACGTTCAGGTCAGATTTTTCCTTTTTTAATTTCCTGAAAGCGCATTTTAAGCAAGCCTCAATTTGTTAAATATTCGATTCGACGATGTTTGAACAATAACAATTGTAATTAGAATAATGAAATTCAAAAGCAGGGGGATTCATAAAGCACAAGCGTGATAATATAATATTTTATGCAATTCAGGTTCTATTTATTAGAGACAATTTTGAGGGAATTCATTGAGACACACCGTATAAGCAAATCTAAAAATATTAATGCAATGATAAATTACACGTATAGTCTGATCATATTTTGCACATTCCCGAAAGGATTTTTTTGGCAAAATTCTGAGATCACGTAACCAACTTTTTGGGGTTGATAAACAGATACATTTTGATTAAAAAGTTAAGATTCTTACAATAACTTCAAAACGTCTGCAAGATTTCAAAGTATTCAGTTTTGCAATTCTTGATTCAATCAATAAAATAAATTGACTAACAGTCATTAGTTTTGAGACAATCCGTATAAACAAATCCAAAAAATTTTAATCTAGTGATAAATCACAAGTGTTGTCTCATCATACTTTGCACATTTAAGATACATTTTTTAGGGAAGATGAACAAATACATTTTGACTAACCATTTACAATGCCCATGATAACTTTAAAACATCTCCAAGATTTGAAAGCATTCGGTTCTGTAGTCCTTGATTAAATAAAATAAATTCCCGCATTCATTAATTTTTTTGAGTCATCCATTATATGCAAATCCAAAAAATTTTAATGGAATAATAAATCACAAGTATTGTCTCATCATATTTGGTGCATTTTAGACAGGATTTATTCGGCAAACTTTTGAGCTGACGTCATCAAGTTTTTGGAGGGGATAACCAAATATATTTTGACTAAAGATTTATGATGCTCTTTATTATTATTATTATTATTGATAAACCCTTCCATAGGCTATAGCCCATTTACGGAAGACATACAACAAAAAAAGAACAAGTAGAAGAAGACAAGCATATAGACTGTTTATAGTAAAGCATAATGATTTTTTATATCTCTGACTGTGCAGCAGAATATGTCAAGATGATTTTCAACGTTAGCGTAGCTGTGTAGCATCTGAAATAGTGGTTAAGATTTCATTATATTAGTCTTAGGAAAGGGTGCCTTTATTAAAGAGTTCAATCTTAGGCTAGTTGTCGGTGCTCTAAAATATAAAAGGTTTACTATATCTTCACAGTTTACTATTGAATGCAAAATGTTTCTTAGCATAATAATAAAGGCAACAGTCCTACGACAAGAAAGACTCTGCAAGTTGAAGCGTCTGAGGAGTATATCATTTGGAATTCCTCTAAGTGGGTAAGTACCATCCTCAAGAAAACCCAAAAATTTCAGAAACCTACGTTGGATTTTCTCTAAAGCAGAAATGTGAACTTGATATACGGGACTAAATATAATGGAAGAATACTCAAGTCGAGATCGGACATACGCAAAATAAAGTGGTTTTAAGATATCTTTACTCTGAAAGGCACCTGAGTTTCGGATGACGAGACCAAGTGACTTGTAAGCAGATGAAGCGATTTTTTCAATATGTTTATCAAATTTTAGCTTTGTATCATAAGTGACACCCAGATCATAAATATAGTCAGGCCTTTCTAGTATTGAATTCTCAATTGCATAGTCATAAATTATTGGATCAAGTTTTCTATAGAAAGATTTTACAAAGCATTTGTCCTTGTTTAGCAAAAGCTGATTGTTAATTGACCAATTCCACAATTTACTGAGATTTTCCTGAAGATGTAAGCAGTCCTCAACTGTTTTAATTTCACAGAAAATTTTTAAATCATCGGCATACAGTAAATGTCTTACATCAAGTTCGTCAACGACATTATTTATATATATATTAAAGAGCAGAGGACCCAGCACAGAACCCTGTGGTACGCCTGACGATTGCAAAAATTTGTTGGAACGGTATTCACGATAGCAAACATATTGATGTCTTTGATGCAAATAGGATGTAAGAAGGTTAAGTAAGTTGTTTGAAAAACCAAATGTTTGTAACTTATGCAACAAGATTTTGTGATCAATGCCATCAAACGCCTTAGAAAAATCAATGTATATACAGTCAACTTGACTTCGAGCATCTAGACGCTCTGAAATAAACTGAATTTTTAAGAATAAATTAGTGACTGTGGATTTTCCCTTAACAAACCCATGTTGAGATGGAGATAGGTAAGTGGAGACGGGATTAAAGATACGAGAATGAAGTACGATTTCGAATATTTTTGCAAAATTATTTATAATTGTAATCGGACGGTAATTAGCAATGTTGCTTCTACTATTTTTCTTGTGGACTCGTGCGACCCGAGATACTTTCCACTTCATTGGGAAATAAGATTTTTTTATTATTAAATTGAAAATAATGTTTAATGGCCTACAGAAAATGGAGGCACAATCTCTAATAAGAAATGACGGTATACAATCTGGACCAGCTGTCAACGTAGGTTTGAGTTGTTAAATGGCATTAGGAATTTCATCTTCATTAATCCTTGTCAAATAGATAATATTTTTATATAAGCTGTCTAAACTGTTCTCACGCATTGAAGTACTGGAAATCGACAAGCTATTAAATGATTTACCAAAGAAATCTGCAAAAGCATCTACTATATTTTGTGGTGATGTTAGCTCCTTATCATATTGCATTATGTTTGGTATACTAAACTTTTTTGTTTTATGTTTAACAAGTGTCCAGAACCATCAGTAACACGTTTTAAATATCTGTCATAAGCATCTTAATTCGTTTTTTTATTTCTCTTCGGTACAATTTGAATGTTTCTAGAAATAGAAGCGACTTATCTTTTTTGTCTTTCAGCCATGCTTTACGCTTTTGTTTGAGACTTTTAATAATTTCCTTGTCAAACCATTCAGGGTAGGTACCGAGAGGCTGCCTTTTCGTTGGCACAAAAAAATTAAAAATATTTAAAAGTTTGTCGTAAAATAACTCAATAGCCCCATCGACATCTTTTGCAGAATCTAAAAACGAAAAATCAACTTCGGATAAATGATAGTATAGGGATGGAAAGTCTGCTTTTTTAAAATTAAATTCACCATGAGTTTTGATTGGAATACAAGTTGTTTTCTCCTTCAAGAGACATACACTGACTTCCAAGGCAGGATGATACGCATCCTCTAGGGTTAACACTTCCTCTGCATGAATTACGTGACACTCTGTATTGCTAAACACAAGATCTAAAAGACGTTCATTAGAATTGAGAACAAAATTTTTTTGGGAAAGACCAAGAAACTTGCTGAAATTGTCACAGTCATAGTAGATGTTGGATGATATAACACTGGACGAATAACAGCTAATATACTCAGGGATATTGAAATCACCTAACACGATTATA